GCTTACGCGCGAGCTCTTGCGAAATCTTGGGATAACCATAGGTTTTTCCAGATTATCACAAACAGCTACCAAACGGGCTTCGCGCGCGCGCATGTCGAAATCTGACGAACGCCCTTGCGCGTGTGCCGTCGCGAGAATCCTCGGCAAAAAATGAAACGAAGCGCAGACGCGCGCGTCGTCGCGCGCGTATGCCGAAATCCTTCAAAACCCATCGGTTTCGGAAGGATTTCAAAATCGTGTGTCCAAAAAACCTACAAAAACAGGAGGTTTCGCAACACGGATGTTCAACAAAAGCGTGCGCGCGCGCTCTTGCGTCGTCGTCGTCGTCGTCGTCGTCGTTGTCGTCGCCGTCCTCCCTCCTCCCGCGTCGTCGTCGTCGTCGCCTACGTCGTCCTCTGTCTTTCCTCGTGTTCGTCGTCGTCGTCTTCTTTGGCGTCGTGGTCGTTTCCGTCGTCGTTGTCGCCGTGGTCGTCCTTCCTCCTCCTCTCTCGTCGTAAAACGTCCGTCGTCGGCGTCTCGTCGTCGTCCCTCCTGTCTCGTCGTCGTCTTCGTTGGCGACGTCGTCGTCGTCGTCGTCGTCGTCTTCCCTCCTCCCTCGTCGTTGTCGTCGTCGGCGTCGCCGTCCTTCCTCCTTTTTCGTCGTTCGCGTCGTCGCCGTCCTCCCTCCTCCCTCGTCGTTGTCGTCGTTGTCGTCGTTGTCGCCGTCGTCGTCCTCCCTCCTCCCTCGTCGTCGTCTTCGTTGGCGACGTCGTCGTCGTCTTCGTCGTCGTCGGCGTCGGCGTCGTCGTCTTCGCTTCGTCGTCGTCGACGTCGGCGTCGTCGTCGTCGCCGCCGTCGTCGTCGTCGTCGGCGTCGTTGACGTCGTCGTCGTCGGTGTCGTCGTTGTCGTCGTCGTCGTCGGCGGCGTCGTCATCGTCGTCGTTGTCATCGTCGTCGTCGTCGTCGTCGGCGGCGTCGGTGTCGTCGTTGTCGTCGTCGTCGGCGTCGTCATCGTCGTCGTCGTTGTCATCGTCGTCGTCGTCGTCGTCGGCGGCGTCGGCGTCGTCGGCGGCGTCGGCGGCGTCGGCGTCGGTTTCGTCGTCGTCGTCGTCGGCGTCGTCGAAGTCGTTGGAGACGTCGTCGGTGTCGTCGTAGTCGTTGTCGGCGGCGTCGTCGTCGTCGTCGTCGCTGTCGTCGTCGCGTCGCTGTCGTTGCCAAGTGCCATTTGGTACCCACCGTCTCTGTCTTAAGAGATTTTGCAAACCAAGTTGCGGGTGGGTGGGTGGGATGTTTGCGCGAGCAGTGGAGTGGTCGTGCAGGGTAGTCAATTGCACAACATAGACTCCCCCGCATAGAGTGCGCCACAAATATTGCACTGCATAGATGGCGCCATATCGAGTACAACATATAGCTTGTAAAACATAGCTTGCACCGCATGTATTGTACCACATGGGTTGCACAACGTAGATTGCACCAGATAATGCAAAATATACATGCCACCACATAGTTTGCACCACTTACATTGCCTTACATAGAGTGCCAACATATGTTGCACCACAAAGAATGAAACATATATATATATATATATTATATGTATATATATATATATATATATATATATATATATATATGCATTGCGCCACATAGACTGCAATATGTATATACATTTATATATGTATATACTAGAACCATCGCGCGCGCTTCGCGCGCGCTCAAGTTCTAGCTAGGCATGATAGGATAACTCATGTAATATCATTATGGTTGCTTCTTGCGTCCAGGGACTCCCTTGGAGGCCCTGCGCAAGCCTCGGACTCGTACAGAAGGGGAAGTGCGGAAACGCAGAAATCATTAATTCCCTTTCTAGATATTGAACGCTTCGGGGCCCTCAAAGGCATCCTGGGTTTTTTGGGGGGAGTTGAGGGGGGCCTGAATTGTAGTCTGTTGTGCAAGAGTAGAGTGAGAGCCAAATTTGGATAACAAAAAGAAAGAAAAATCCTCATTTTTCCAGTTCCTCGGCTCTGTTCGGCGCTGTTTCTTGTTTATGCCTCGCGGGTTTTGTTAGCCGGGCCCCTCAGAGGTGTGGAATCTTCCTGACCCCCTGAGCCCCGGGGGCGGCCCCCCGAACCTCCTCCCCCCCGCCCCTTCCCGGCAAAGAACCGGGGGAGGATCCGGACCCCCCCCCCTCTACCCACGGGAAAATCGGTCGGGGGGTCCAGACCCCCGCCCTCCCTGGAACCTTCTTCGGAGGGGTGCAGGCCCTCCCCCCCCTAGAACACGACTCGGGTCCAAGACTTCCCCCCAGACAACGACAACAACGACGGCGACGACAATGATGACGCCGCCACCCGCAAACGAAGGCGCGGACGACGACGACAACGTCGCCACCGCCGGCAACCGACGCGGACGACGAAGACAACGTTGACGACGACGACGTTGACGACGACGACGACGACGACGACGACGACGACGACGACGACGACGACGACGACCAAGACCGAGACCAAGACGAATACGATGAATACGACGCATACGACGAAAACGGCGACGACGAACGACGACGACGACGATGGCGACGGCAACAACGTCAGCGGCGGCGGCCACGCTTGTCGCTGGTGCCCGTGACAGTCGCCGGCTCTGTACTATGCTACTCGCGATCGATCCACATCCAACTGAGTATTGTGCAAGATCGTTTCGTCCCGAATACAACCCTAACGGGGCTGGATGTACGTCAAGTGGAAGTTTCACACGGCTGGATTCAGCCATAATTAAAGCGTGCTCGGGCTCGATCCAAGTCAGATAGAATCCTACCAGGGTTCGATCCAGCTCAAAGTAAACCCTGCTGTTTGAGCTGGATCCAGCTTCCATGATAATCCGACTGTGCTTCCAAACTCAAACAGACTCCTACAAAAGCTCGCTCCAGCTCGGACAGAATCCTACGAGGATCCAGCCTTACTAAATCCAGCTCTGAGATGCCATACTAAAACTCAATCCGGCTTAATACAATCGTATAAGGGCTCAACCCAACCCTATTAGAACTGTATGAAGGCTTGATCCAGCTCAAATAAGATCCGAGTATAGCCCACTCCAATTCTAACAAAATCTCACGAGGGGTCGGTGCAGGTCGAATAGAATCCCACTGAGGGTGGATCTATCCCGAGTAGAATTCTTCGAGGGCTGGAACTAGCTCAAATCGAACCCTGCTAGAGCCTAGGGTTCTATCCAGCTCGAATAACATAATTGTACGTAACGGTCCAGCTGGAAAAACATCCTTTTAGGCGTCGATCCAGCTCTCCCAGAATCCTACGAGGGCTCGACCCAACTTCGATGGAAATTTTACCAGGGCTCGATCCAGGTTGAACTGAATCCTGATAGGGCTCGGTCCAGCTCTCTCAGATTCCTACTAGGGGCTCGATCCAATTCTAACAAACCCCTATTACACGGCTGGGACCAGCTCTAGAAGAATCACATCAGGGCTGGATCCAGGTCTGCTGAACTTCTACTAAATGTCGACCCATCATTCATGCAGAATCTTCATAGAGTTGAATCCAGCTCAATCGGATTCCTGCTACAGGCAAATCCATCTTGAAGGCAATCCATCCACCTCTAATGACATCCTATGAGCGCTCGGTCCAGCATAAACAAAAGCATGATACGGCCCGCTCCAGCTTAAAGCGCGTCCCACTAGGGTTCCATCGTCGTAGTCGTCGGCGTCGTCGTAGGCGTCCTCGTCGTCGTCGTCGTCGCCGCCGCCGTCGTCGTCGTCGCCGTCGTCGTCGTCGTCATCGTTAGTGTCGTTGTCGTCGTCGTTGTCGTCGGCGTCGGCGCCGGCGTCACCGTCGGCTTCGTGACGAGTCCGTCGTCCGTCGTCCGTCGTCGTCGTCGTTGTCGTCGCCGCCGCCGCCGCCGTCATCGTCGTCGTCGTCGTAGTCGGCATCCGCGTCGGCGTAGGCGTCAGGCATAGCGCTCTGGACGGCAAAAGATCTACTATTCTTCACCCCTGTGATTTTCGTCGTCGTCGGTCGTCGTCGTCGTCGTCATTCGTCCGTCTTCGTCGTCGTCGTAGTCGTCGTCAGCGTCGGCGTCGGCGTCAGCGTCGGCGTCAGCGTCGGCGTCAGCGTCGCCTTCGGGATCGTTTCCGTCATCCGTCCGACGTCGTCGTTCGTCGTCGTCTTCGTCGTAGTCGTCGTCGTCGTAGTCGTCGTCGCGGTCGTCGTCGTCGTCGGCGGCGTCGTCGTCGTTGTCGTCGTCGTCGCCGTCGTCGTCGCCATCGTCGTCGTCGTCCGTCGTCGTCGTCGTCAACATCGTCGTCCTCGTCGCCGCCGTCGTCGTCGTCGTCGTCCTCGTTCGTCGTCGTCGTCGTCACCCGCGTCGTCGCCGTCGTCGCCGTCGTCGTCGTCACCCGCGTCGTCTGCCAGCGGCGGCGACGTCGTCGTCGTTGCCTTCGAGGAATTCTGAACCTCTCGAATAATTTTCCTGGCGGGGGGGGGGTCTGGGACCCCCTCGAATAATTTTCCCGGGAGCGGGCGGGGTGTGGATCCCTCCGAATAATATTTCCGAGGGGGGGGGGGGGAGAGGGGGGAGGGCGGAACTCCCCCCCTCCCCTCCTGATTTTTGGGGGGGGCGTGGCTTGAATTCCCCCCTGCCAGCAGCGGCAGAAAGCGCTCTGTCCATCATCACCATCATCAGCATCATCATCGTCATCATTATTATTACCCTCCTCCTCCTCCTCCTCCTCCTCCTCCTCCTCCTCCTCCTCCTCTTCCTCCTCCTCCTGTTCCACCTCCTCTTCTTCCTGTTCCTCCTCCTCCTCCTCCTGCCTCTCTCCTCCTCCTCCTCCTCTCCTCCTCCTCCTGCCTGTCCTCCTCTCCTCCTCCTCCCTCCTCCTCCTCCTCCTCCTCCTCCTCCTCCCCCTCCCCCTCCCCTCCCCCTCCTCCTCCTCATCCCCTCCTCCTCCTCCTCCTCCTCCTCCTCCTCCTCCTCCTCTCCTCCTCCTCATCCATCATCATCATCATCATCATCATCATCATCATCATCATCATCATCATCATCATCATCATCATCATCATCATCATCATCATCATCATCATCATCATCATCCCCCTCCTCCTCCTCCTCCTCCTCCTCCTCTCCGCCTCTCCCCTCCTCCTCCTCCTCCTCCTCCTCCTCCTCATCCTCATCATCATCATCATCATCATCATCAGCTCATCGCATCAGCACAGCATCAGATCTCATCATCATCATCATCATCATCATCATCATCATCATCATCATCATCATCATCATCATCATCATCATCATCATCATCATCACCATCATCATCACCATCACCATCATCATCACCATCACCATCACATCATCATCATCATCATCATCATCATCATCATCATCATCATCATCATCATCATCATCATCATCATCATCATCATCATCATCATCATCATCATTCCATCCTCCTCCTTCTCCCCCTCCTCCTCCTCCTCCTCCTCCTCCTCCTCCTCTTCCTCCTCCTCCTCGTCCTCCTCCTCCTCCTCCTCCTCCTCCTCCTCCTCCTCCTCCCCAGGCAGCGGCGCGCGCAGCGCGAGGGCGCGGCACCGGGCCTCGAGCTGGTCAACGAGGCCCAGGGCCGCCCTCCACGACTGCCCCGCCCCGCACGCCCCGATGAGGCTGGGAGGGCAGTTTCTTTTAGTCGTCGTCGCCGCCGTCGTCAGCGACGTCGTCGCGCCGTCGTCCACGAGGGTCACGTGTTTCCGCCGTCGACAGACGTCGTCGTCGTCGACAGCCGACGTCGTCGTCGTCGACGCCGACGTCGAAGACGTCGCCACCGTCCACAAGTGCCACTTCGTTTCGTCGTCGTCGTCGTCGTCCTACTCGTCGTCGTCGTCCTGCTCGTCGTCGTCGTCGTCCTGCTCGTCCTCCTCGTCCTTATCGTCCCCCATGTGCCTCGTCCTCCTCTTCATCCGTCTCCTCCCCGTCCTCCCCAATATGCCTCGTCCTCCTCCTTCTCATCCTCATCCTCCTCCTCCGCCTCCTCCTCCTCTCCCATCTGCCTCTTTCCCCTTCTCCGCCATCTCCTCCTTCATGTCATCATCCTCGTGCTCCTCAACTTCCTACTTCACCCAAGCAGTATCATCATCCTTGTACTAGTCATCATATTTCGTCAATCATCATCACCAACACGATCATGACCATCATCAGCGCCATCATCAGCAGCAGCATCCTCATCATCATCGTCACCATGGTCATTACCATCACCATCACCATGGTAGAAAACAGTACCATCACCACCACAGCCACCATCGTCATCATCACCACCACCATCATAACATGGTGATATCCAGAATCAGCAAATAAGAAGAAGATGGTGAAAGTGGAGTACCCGAACTCTGGAATATCCCCACACGAGAAAGAAATCAAGCCCCAGCATCACGACCGTCCTGAGGGGGGTCGTGGTCCAGAGGATGTAGCCTTTTCAGCCATGTCGGTGCCCAGGACAACCAGCGCCATCTCAACGGCGGCAGTCAGCTTGGTCGCGCGCTCGGTGGGGCCCTGGGAGTCGGAGTAGCACACCCACCCCGACTTGCTGAGAACCCTCGGCGCCGTAGACCACCAATGAAATGGTAATCCGTAGGTTCTGGCAATACCAGCTCGTGAGAAATCATATGTTGGGCACTCGGCCCAGCAGTGGCGAAACGAGGGGGACGCTGCCCCGCACTGGCGGCAGGCCTTCCCCGAGCAGCGACGCGTCTCAGAGGATACAGCTCCAGCGCGAAAAATACGCACGAGCTTGCGACCATCCTCTCCCAGACGCTTGAAGAAGCGTTTGTACACCAGGTTCGACTCCGCATCCACGTCCACATTCAGGATCTCTTCGGCGTCGAAACGTTTGCCATTGACTTCGGCCAAACATCTGATCCTTGCCACGCAGCGCAGCAAGTGTTCGACCTTCTTCTCATGGCCTGGGTGGTCAGGTCTGTAAGTCCAGAACCTCCTCTGGCCATCCACCATACCCTTCAGCACCCGAACCACTCTGTGATCATCAGTGTCGCTCACCTCGAGGCAGCAACCACGGCGATCAGCGCAGGCAACAAAACGAAGGCCCAGAACCTGGGCATGCATGATCATCGCATTCTCCAGGAAGGTCGACCACACAAGGCGCTCCTGAGAGAGAACTTTGGAGGCCTGTAGGGATCCCGACAGGCGAGGATGTAGGTGTACGCGTTGTGCCCACCAGCGTCCGTAGCACCACCAACGGTTGGTAGACCTGGCAATCGATCGGTACACAGCTCTGCATGTCGAAACAGCGCCACAAGGGGGCAAGCCCACAGCCAAAGCGGGCGAACGCAAGCAACAGCGAGCCGAGCACGGACCTCCGCACCTCCAGGTACTGTTCCGAGCACGCGAATCGCTGTATGAAGCTTGTCCCAACCTCCTCTAGGCTGGATTGGGGTCGATGCATCCGCTGGAGTCGCCACGATCCCTAGGTGTTCTACTGCCGCAGGGGGTTGGTCCGAGCGAGCCCAC